TTGAAAACGTTCTACCAAATAACTTATATCAAAATATTTTAGATTTTTATCTTGACCCTAGCTCACCGCCAAAGGAGGCAAATATTTTGCCATCAAGATATGAACCATTCACATTCCTTCTTAAACCACGACACTTTAACATTTTTGAAAGTTGGATTGAAGAAGCTGATCAAAATGATAAGAAAACTAAAAATCTTTTACATAAATTTTTTAGTTCAAATAATTTGAATACAAATGAGAAAAAAGGATATTCTGGAAAAACAACCTTAAATACGAAGCCAAAACATTTTTCGAATAACAATCTCTATGATTTTGTTCTTCTTTATCGTGGAAAGGAAAATGATTTCAATGCAGAGAAATTTCATAAGTTATGTGACAATAAAGGTCCAACTTTGACAATTGTAAAACTTACTGATCAACGTCTTTTTGGTGGTTATAATGATTTAAACACGGAACATCATTATTTTGAAAGAAAAGTATCAAGAAAAAATTTTTTATTTTCTTTCGATAATCAAAATGATTTCGGGAAATCAAAATTTGCGCGCGTTAAAAAGAATTCTTTAGCTTCGGAATATTATTCTGATTATGGGCCGTGCTTTGGCTGTAACAAAAATAATTTTGACATGTATATTGATTCAAATTCGCTACATATATCTAATTCTAATATTTATTCAAATTTAAAGAAATTTACAACACTGAAAAAGACCTTTACAATAGAAGATTATGAAGTTTGGCATGTATCTAAAAAAAGTGTTTAATTTTATATTGCATCATATTATTGTATTATATTAAATTATTATATTATATTTTATCCACGTATATATATTAATATTTTGACGTTGTAAATGTTTGCTTTTATATATTGAGATTAAGAACCCGATCATAAAGCCGCTCACCGCAATTATAGCGCTTTGCAAAAAGACGTGGCCACATGATTTTTGTAATAATGTTCGAGAAAAATTTCTGAGAATTTAGATTGCCTATTACTTTATATTTTCGAGCGGTTAAATTTGTGTTTCTTTGAAATCAGTAAAATTCTTAAAATCTATAGAATCTCCGAATCTCACACGGCATTGTGGTCTGCAGAGGCCACAAAGCGCAATAAAAATTATTACTTAACTAATGCTGTTAAAATCATGAAATCACGCACTATTAAAATCAATATTAAATCACGAACTTACCGCTGTTAAAATCATGAAATCACGCACTATTAAAATCAATATTAAATCACGAACTTACCGCTGTTAAAATTAATTATTGAAGTCACGAACCACCCATAGGATAGTGAAATTACGTAATTTTTGCGTAAGATTCGGTTAAATTGAAGTTTCAAGTTAAAATTCGGATTATATTCAAATCAAATAGGTAATTATTGTATTAACGTTAAGCCGGTGCCTTGTAAATCCGGCTATTCCCACTCTGAATTGGGACGGTCGGATTCTGAATAGGACGGATTCCTATCTGGGGTACGACATATATTTTATTCACAGTCAAATTTTCCTCTGACAAATTTTTTTATCATGAACTCTGGATGTAAATTTTAAATTTTATGTGCGTTAGAACACTTTAATTTGTGTACCGAATTCTTTCGAACCATCATTGTTATAGTTTGAACTTATAAATTTTACAATTCGATGTCATTCGTACAATTATTTCAAGTCTTCTTTACATTCGTGTTAAATTTTTGGCAATTGATTCGCTTTCAAAGTCATAAGATCAATTAACAATTTGTTTATGATTATTGCTTAAGGAAAAAAAAGAGGAATTGAAAAAGCCCTAATTTCTATAAAAAAAAAAAAAAAAAAAAAAGAATTAAAAAAATTCTAAATGAATAAAAATTTCTAAATTTACAGAGAATTATAACAGATAAAATCCATTACGTATCAAACTATATATGCTACACTTTGATGTCGTCTACAAGACAGAAAACAATATATCAAATAATTGCCTAAGGATTTAGAAATTACATCAGATGTATAAAACGTGCTTTTGGACCTTTAGCAATGAAATTTTGAAATTTCTAAATTCTACTATCATGTGAATATTATCCACTTCTAATTTTGTAATTGGGCATTTTCGAAACTGCAAAGATGCTTTTTTACATGTTCAATTCATTAATAAAGCATCTGCGTTGAGTAGTTAGAATGAAACTACAGTATATTGATTCAGTTTGGGACTCAGATTATTATTATTTTATCTAAGACCATTTGAACTGAACTAGCTGGTAATTCTAGCTAGTTACGCTATAATAATCTATCACTAGAAAATCGCATCTAGAGCGGACTCCATAATTAAGGACTTTGATCGGGATCTGGTTCATAAACCCATTCACGTAATTACCAACAATATTAGGCTTACATGATTGATTTCCAATTCCGTAATATCACAATTGGAACAAACACATCTAGGAAAGGTACCTCCTATATTGGATTTTGTCCGAAACAAGCTTAGAGCGATCTCAAAATGTTCAAGCGAAGCCATTTCAAGGACCAGTTCGGCAAGCCTTTTAACATCCCTACCGATAAATGAAGCATAGATGATGTCGTAATGTCAAGTGAATTCACAAGTTATTTGAATCATCTTGCTGGTTTGAGGAATTTTTGATAAAATTGGTCAGTAAACCCATATTAAAAGTTAAATTTAAAATATTAAAAAAAAGTAAAAATAAAAATAAGACCTGAATTAATAACGTGCTACAATCTTTATATTTTTAAGCTTATTAAAGGTTTGTATGGACCTTTGTTTTTAATTGATTATAAAAATAAAGACAAAATGAACTGATTACAGACATATATATTCACAAAATTTAATTTAGGCATAATAGTTAAGGCTCCAGCCTATAAAATGTCACCGTTTTTTTGGATTAGATTACAATGTTCCACGACATTTTACATTTGTTATATAAGCTTATATACCGGATGCATAAACTGTATACTGATTTCAGAGATCTTTCAAAATGATAAATTTGCCAAACGAATGCCTCTATGAAATATTTAATAATTTTCAAACTGATTATAAAACCTTATTTTCGTCCCTACTTGTAAACCGCCGATGGTGTAGAATCATCATACCAATATTATGGAGTGAACCTACAATCCATTTTAGCGATAAAAGACTTATAATAATATACCTTTTAGCACTAAGTGCTAAAGAGCAAGCTCTATTGATTCCATTTAAAATTACTCTTCCAAATTATCCAAAGCCATTATTTGAGTATGAAAGTTATACTACTTCTGTTGGTTCATATTTAGCCTATGGAATCGCAAATTGGCTTAAAGATGAAGGATATGGTGCAAATTATTTTGCAAAGGATAAACTTGCAAATGCTATCAAATACTCTTTAGTTGCAATGTTTCTCCGAGCAAGTAAAAATCTTAAATATTTAAAACTTGACAATATTACTAATAAAACAATATTGGCAGATATACTTTGTAAGAGCACTACGCTGACTACTTTGGATCTTAGTGATAATTATCTTAGATCAGAAGGAGGAATAGTATTAGCAGATGCATTTTGCAAAAATACCACGCTGACTTCTTTAAATCTTGGTGGTAATAATCTTGGATCAGACGCTGGAAAAGCTTTAGCAAATGCACTTTGCAAAAACACTACACTGAAAATTTTGAATCTTAGTAAAAATAATCTTGGATCAAGAGGAGGAAAAGCATTAGCAAATGCACTCTGCGAAAACAATACACTGACTTATTTGAATCTCTGGGATAATAATCTTGGACCAGAAGGTGGAAAAGCATTAGTAGATGCACTCTGCGAGAACAACACGCTGACTTATTTGGATCTCTGGAATAATAATCTTGGATCAGAAGGAGGAAAAGCATTAGCATATGCGCTCTGTAAGAACACCACGTTGAAAGATTTGCTTCTTGGTTTGAATAATCTCGGGTTAGAAGGTGGAGAAGCATTAGCGGATGCACTTTGCAAAAACACTACTCTTACTTTTTTGAATCTTGGTTATAATAAACTTGGATTAGGAGGAAAAGCAATAGCAAATGCACTTTGTAAGAACGCCACGCTGAAAACTTTGGTTCTTTGGGATAATAATCTTGGACCAGGAGAAGGAAAAGCATTAGCGTATGCACTTTGCAAGAACACTACGCTGACTTCTTTGGATCTTCAAGAGAATAATCTTGGATCTGAAGGAGGAAAAGCATTAGCAGAAGCACTTTGTAGGAACACCATTTTGACCTTCTTGGATCTTTATCATAATAATCTTGGATTAGAGGGAGGAAGTGCATTGGCAGATGCACTTTGTAAGAATACCTCGCTGAAAGAATTGAATCTTAAAAATAATAATCTTGGATTAGAAGGAGGAAAAGCATTCGAAGATGCACTTTGCAAGAATACCTCGCTGAAAGAATTGAATGTTTGTGATAACTATATTAATTTTACTATGAAATCTAATAATCCAAGTACCAGAATACAGCAATGAATATATATAGTATAAACATAATTATAAGAGCAAAACCCTCAAAACTTCAAATCAAATAACACAAAATTATGCCTATGAAATCAACTTTTGTGTTTTGACAAAAAATATTCTTAGTACAATATTATAACCCTTTTTAATTCTAAAATACAACTACAAATAAAATCCAGGCACTATTATTATCAACAATTAATAGTTATTTGCTGTATGCTATTTGATTGGTCGATTTAAGCACCGAAGGTGCTTAAAATTCGACCAGTCAAA